GAAGGTATCCAGAAAGCGCCTTCTGATGATCATTCGTGACTCAGTAGTTGAGATATTTCAGAATGTGGTTTCCCCGTAATCAATTCTCACTCTCAGTCAGCGAGGCACCACATTATTTCTCCTAAAAAGGTTATTTTTTGCACTAATATTATGCCATATATATATTGGTAGAGATTACACATTTTCTAGGAGTACTAGATGATAGTGTCGTAGGGAGAGGGAACTGACACTGAAGTGTTTTGGTAATGAAAATGAAATAGGCGACAGCCAATTTATCATGTCACATCTTGGAAAGTTCGTAAAAGGTTGGTTGAATAAGGGGAACCGTCAGCAGCCGTCAACCCAAGGAGTTGCCGAAGTGGAAGGTTAGACAGATGGCCAACGCCGACCTGGTACATCTGCCAGCAAGATTTCCTCAGCTGATGTCCACAGCAGATCGTCAGCACTGTCTTACCAGTTTTGTTCCTACCGTTGAATTCAGGTTTGTGCTCCATGGTCCCAAATGAGTGCACGGAACCAATCCAGGGAGGGGAGACCCTGATCACTCGTGATGGCGCGGGTGATAAATAGCGTAGTTGGCGTAAAGAATAATATATTTCGAGATTCAATCCCGTAAGGTTCTGATAGAAGACATTTGAGAAAATGAGTTGTCGAGCTGGCTTTTGGGAGAAGCACATGTCGGTTTCACAATTCCTTGAGAAAGGATCCAGCACGTCCCATGGAAGAGAGAATGGCCTCTCGATTGTCGGTTTGCTAGAGGCCGATGAAAGACCATATTCTTCGTTTGAGCCACCACATCCAGTTCCAAATATAAGTCGTAAATCTAGTCCAACGACCTGGAGGAGGATTGGGCGCTGGGATTGAGCATGAAAGGTACCCGAGGGAGTTTGCAGAGATGCGTCACCGCAGTGAACAAGTGGCGCAACGGATCACGGAAGGAAGATAAGGTTAAATATATGAATGACACGAACGACAGGGCAGGGTCGAATCAGGGCCATGTAGATTGGCGAGAAAGATATTTGACATGAAGGGTGCGTGAAAACAATGAAATATAGGATTAGCTGCCAGTATTGGGACACAAAGGGAGCTGACCTACCTGGAGGGGGAATAACCGGATCTGAAAGAAAAAGGGAAGCGTCAGCTTATGTTCTTACTTTCAATATATGCAGATCCCGCTGGCGAGTTTCATCCAATGCCAAGATGATACCAGCTCTCTCCCCAGTCCTCTCTACTCTTCGCCTCCGGAGGACCACGCCCGGCGGAAGTAAGCCATGAATACTCACGATTTATTTGAGCTGGATCCGGGGGGATGATGGCATCATCCTCATGCCAGGGTGGCCAATTTGCATCTTTGGCGGTACCAGTAAGTTGTGAGCTTGTTTCTGGACCGCAGAAAGGTATCTGCTTACCTTCGGGGAAGTCACCAGGTATGTCCATAGTAGCTGATAATTTCGAGTGTTTTCGATATCTAGATGCCTCGAGCAAGCGAGACCGAAATAAGAGGATGGGAAATAGGGGACGCAGGTTAGGTAGGTGAACGGGGCACTTAAAAGACCCTTTATAGCTGCATTAACATGCATAATATGTAATAGACGCTGAGACATTTTCATTGAATGTCCTACGCAGGCGCTCTCTTGTCGGAAGTTTGCTCCAGAGTGGACTCGTGTCACCTTCCCACCATACTCCAACTCACGTGGGCGTCCTGTTCTACAGGTATCAGGACAGGAGATGGCTTTGAGCGCGATGATGATACCCCTCAGCCAGGCAACGCTAGTCGCCACCAACTACAGCGCCTTCGCATCCCTTGCGGCGGTGTACTGGAATCCCTGATTGCCTATTGAGCCTTTGGTTTGATGAAACTTCCCACTACATTATATATAGGAGTAGATCAGGAAACCCGGGCAAGCGGAGGCAGTCCGTCGGAGTACGACCGTCTCGATGAGTGGGTCCATAATGGCTAGTATAGTGCGCTAGCACCACTGCCGCAAAGGCTCATTGGCAGAACCAACTTTGAAGGCTTGTATTTTTCACACCTATCTCTATTTATGAACAATGATGATGAGGGCTGTCCGTAGCAACAATGAGATGCAATCCATGAAACACAGGCAATCAACCATCAAACTTGGGAGAGTCAAGTTGATACCACGAGTCCAGTCGTCTGATAGTAACGAAAACGCATGAGTAACTATGAATGAAACGCCCAATGCAACCGTGTATATGTTGTGACGGAACGGTCAGCTGTAGTCATATGTGCGTTCGATATGAGAAGACTAATGGAGGCTCTTTGAAGTCCGAGTACAGTTAGAGACATGAAACGCCATAGCTTACTTCATTCCCGGAAAAGTCGCTCGTCCATAACGCTTGACAGCTCAGGGCGAGAAGGCCTGACGTGCAGCCCTTGGTCCATCTTTCTCCTGACATCCACATCCACCCTCCCTTTGCAGAAGGGGCACCCGATAGTGAGGTCCCATGGTCGAGAAGGGTCCACCATAACGCCAGAATGGATATCAAGGATCAGCAAGAGCATATCTTCTGAACCCAGATGGCAATCGACGAAAAGCAGCAGCTAAATGCGCCGACTATTGAGCTGCGTACCAGAGAGAATGCCACTAGAAGACGGTGGAGAGATAAAAAGGATAGAATATGTGCGATGATACCCGGCTGGGGGTTATTGAGAGGACCAGGATTGGCATTGTTTGTGCATTGAGGGCACTGTCCACAGCTACATGGATTGGGCGGGACAGGTAATGGATTGGGTGGGGTAGGTAAAGGATTCTGAGCTGAGTAGTATATATGTATCAGCCTAGCGAGCCTGATGACTGCTAAAGCGCTTTTCACTCCGTTCTCGCGAGAGCTACAGGACCCTCGCTATGATCCATTCTGGCCTATAGCCAGAACTCGCAGGTTTCTCGAGTGAAATCATGCGGAAACGGCGTGGAATAGAGACTACGATTTTCACTTACCATACTCTGGCTGCCTTTGACTATGCTCGGGGTTGTCGCTCCAGATCCGGCTCATGTTGAATTCGCCGCAGAGTGACATCGTTTGTGAATTACTGGAGTAAATTTATCTGAGAGATGGATGGGTCGTTCCGATTTGGTGGCTTTTGAGGGGTCAGGTTTTATATCCTTCTCGTTCATTGAAACCATCGAACATATTCTTTGCGGCCTGCGGAATCCCCACGTTATTTCTACTCACTAGCTTCAACCATCTGCCATGAAAAGTGGAATTAGCGGGTTCAAAGCAAAGTATACATTTTGAGCCCCCGGCAAGTGCGTCCCGATAGAATGCCCCCTACGAGCTTGAGTGGGTTCGACCAACCAGACATTGCAACCCTTGAACCAAGACCCGGATTCACCTTCAGTTACTTCCTTGGTCTTGCAGAGAAGCGCTTGCTATGGTCGGCGTCTTCTACGTCCAGCTTACCCGAGGGAAATCGATCCCGTTGAGAGTGTAGCAGCGTCTAGCGGCGCAGCAAGTCTATTCCAAGCTGGTTCAGTATAGCATTCAATCCAGATGGTCATATACCGAGACGGTCGTAGGCAGGGATTGTCCAGCTGTAAGATGCCGCCTCCCCTTACACTTTTCCTGCGCTTTGTCAGCATTAGTCCACTGATGATTGTCGCTTACGTAGTAGAGTCCGTTCGGAGGGTACACAGGAGCATTCAAAGCTCCCCGACTGCTTCCTGGTTGCTGTATGACATGCTCCTCGTCATTAGACGCCTTGTTTTAGATGTTTAGAACGGTGCTGGAATGACTATATGGTTTGCCTGCTCAACGTTTTAATTAGTACACAAGGTAATCACGTCTCGCTTCCGCTAAAACCTGGCAGTCTCCTTCCTAGAAAGGGATTAGGAATGGATGGTCCTGAAATTCGATATTTTCAGTTTAAGTTACAATTTGGTCGAGTAGACTGTTACTTGATGCATGTTCATGCTGTGATTCCCACACTTTAGGTGAAAGGCCTGCATAAAAAACCGCAACAGAGTGGTTATGAAAGTATAAAAGTCGCATTTTTTATCGTGAAGCCTTGAGGCTTCACGTTCTGCGACTCGTGTAGCATTCGATATTATTGTGGTTGAAAAATTTGACGGACCGACGACTGAGGCATTGGCTTCTCCGACAAAGCCAAGGATTTCGTCGCAAGAGCCTGAACCGATGAGTGAAAGAGACTGAGAAGAAAGAGGGCGGGAGGCGAGACAGGTGTAATCAAGGAGAAGCGCTGCGCTGCACCTCGCTTGATTATGTAAGCGTTAAGAATTTCCAAGCTCCTTTCCAGAATGTTGGCTTCTCAGGCTGACCTTTCACCTGATTGTTTGAAGAGAGGTTACTTGATGTATTTTAAGGCATAATTGATACCGTCCAATGGATACACAAAAAAAAGGATCCAATGACGAGCCTATACGATTCACGCACCCAAGCCTGATGCTCGACATTTCAATAGTAGGCATGATAATCGAAGTTGAAAAGTAGAAGGAATATATTGGTATAAATGCTCAGTAAAACATAGAACTTCGTATGCGTTTAGCGAAGAATATCTCGACAGTTTCTCCAAATCTATACACCAATCTTGAAACGGCGGCATCCGGCGCTACGAGAGACTGTGGGCTGAATGGTCGTGGGGGTCGTAGCACTAGGAGCCGTTATGGGTGTTGTACCGGAGATCACTGTCGACTCTTGCTGAGCTCTGAAACCAAGCGACAAATAATCGATCAGTACAATCTACTCACTAAAGCTCAAACAGAAATGAGACTTACGCCCAAATGAAAGAGGAGGGCTGTTCAACCACATTAGCTGCGAGGGAGGCGATTTCCTTGAGGTACCCTTGGTCCGGTGAAACCCTTTCGTAAATTTTGATACCTCCTCCATTCATTCCCCCAGCGATAAGATATGCGTCATTTTCCCCTACGAGAGCGACCCCCCGGAGGTGTTTGAGGCCAGTGCGGATGCTAGCAACCTTGGTCAGAGGATTGGTCTGGAAGATAGCGATCGCATCTCCTTCGGGACTAGGATCTTCTCTGTTGGAAGCATAGATCAGAGTGGATGGCTCGTGGGCCATGAGAAGTTCCCCGGCGTAGAGAGTGGCAGATGAAGGCGTGTCAGAGGGAATGATGGAGATGCTAGAGACGGCATCTGGTTGTGCGTCACCGAGTGTTGGAGTCAAGACTTGTTGAGATAATGTGTTTGCTTTCTCGTGCAGAGTGTATAACGACCCATCTGTGAGAGTTTCTTAGCACCGAAGCAATGATTGACAAATGAAATAGTTACCATCTATAACAAGGTGTCTCGGGCCGCTTCCAGAAGGCTGGGAAATGAAATCACCGATTGACCAATTGTTGGAACCGTCTTGAGTGAGTCGCCAGACACGGTCGGCGGCGAGATCCGCCACCATAACCTGGTTACCAGACGCGACGACCTGAAAGATTCGATAAGTAATGAAATATTATGAAACTAATACTTTAGGAGTCATACCTGATGAGCATTCGAAGCCGGAACCTGATCGAATTTCAGCAGTTGTGGGTTGGAGAAGTGAAGCTGGTCGTCTTCCAGGGTAGCGAAAAAAGTGGAACCACCTCCATAGTTTGCTACACCTAGCTGGGAGCCGTTGTTGACTAAACCAATATGTGTTGGCGATCCGCCTTGGGTAGGAATAGACGCCACCGGCGTAACCTTGCCCGTCGCGTGCTCTAGAACAAGGGAGTTGAGAGCACCATCCTCTGTTTCATCGGTAACGTAGAATATAGACGAGTTGGTGGGATTGGCTAAGAGCCAAGACGGTGACGTCCCCGACGCGGTTTGGGATACAAGGTTCAAGGACGGTGGAGAAACGGTGAAGTTGAGCGTGGAAATCATGGGAGTAAAAGATCCCACTAGAATGAGAAAACTGGATGCCATCTTGGATCTTGCTTGAAAACGAATGAACTGTACGAAAATCTGCTGGCCGGAGCGTAACACGAGTTGACTTTAACCGAGCTCTTCAAGAGACGTGATATGGCGTGAAAATGATTGTGGAGACGAGATCCAAGTCGTAAAAATGCGTAAAAGTTGTCAAATGTGAAGGCGAGCCCGATGCGGCGCGGAAGAAGAATGAGTGGCCGGTTAGCAACCTTACTCCGCACCACCCAAAAACGCTTGGCGTTATGTACAATTTGTCATCAAAATATAT